GGAAGGAAGGAAGGAAGGAAGGAAGGAAGGAAGGAAGGAAGGAAGGAAGGAAGGGCTGGCCCCCGGGTCCTACCATGTGTCAGGCCTGCCACCCTCACAGCCATTATTTTGTATAGTTGAATCCTCACCATGGTGCTGTGGGATCGGTGCTATCAAGGTACTATCAAACGATCAGAAGTACTATAAAAGTGCTATCAAACCTAATTTACAGAGGAGGAAACAAGGACCGAGAAGGACAATGCTGCATGATGCAGGTGTTGTGGAAGAGAGCCAGGATCCAAACACAGGGGGTGTTCAGCCCACAACAGGTGCTCAGCCAATGAGTCACTGCACGCTTGCTCCTGCCTCCACCTCTTCACCCACCCCGACCCCAGCAGCAGCTGCTCATGTGGGTTCCCAGGCTTTGGAGACAACTGTCTGTAGGGGCGCCCTTCTGGTTCTAGGAAAGGCCCCCAGGTGTGTGTATGGGGGGGAGGGCAGGTAAGTGGGTGTAAGTGTCCCTTGAGACAGCACCTCCCATTCAGCTCGGCACCCTACCTTGACTGTGCTCCTTGGCTCAGAACTGTAGGGAGGAAAAAGAGAGACCTGAGAGACGAGAAAAGCCACAGGACAGTCACCAGCAAAGAAAAGAGAGACACAGCAGGCTGGAGAAGCAGCTCAGCAGACAGCCTGTGGCCGCTGCCTTCACAGGATCTAGCCAGGGGATTCGCTGGGAAATGCTGGTGGACCAGGCCCTTGGACCCTTGTGGGAAACTTGTGGCCCTGGACAGTCCCTGGCCCTCCTATACCTCAGCTTCCCTGCCAGAAAAATTGAGCAGGTTAGATATTTAAGTCCTCTTGCTCTGAAATTCAAGTGGTCAACGATCCTGGTCTTGAAATGAGCCTCACAGACAGGGGTCTACTTTTTGAAAGTTAAATGGACCTCAATCACAGGGCCAGCAGGAAACATGAACTTCTATGGTCAGACCCAAAGGTGAGAGACATTTGGTGGCTTTTCTAAATACTACTTAAAAAAAAAATTTAAGGGCTGGGGAGATAGCTCAGTGGTAGAGTGCTTGTCTTGTATGCATGAGGCCCTGGGTTCGATTCCTCAGCAACCACATAAGCAGAAAAAGCTGGAAGTGGCACTATGGCTCAAGTGGTAAGAGTGCTAGCCTTGAGCTGAGGGACAGCGCCCAGGCTCAGAGTTCAGGCCCATGGCCAACCAAAAAAAAAAAAAAAATTAAGCCAGATGCCTGTTACCGTAGCTACTCAGGAGGATGAGATCTGAGGATCATGGCTCAAAGCCTGTGTAGGCTGAAATGTCCCAATGAGACTCTTATCTCTAACGAACCACAAAAAACAAACAAAACAAAACTGGAAGTGGTGCTATGGCTCAAAGTGGTAGAGTGCTAGCTTTGAGCAAAACAGCTTGGGGACAGTGCCCAGGCCCTGAGTTCAAGTCCTAGGACCACACACAAAAAATTATAAAGTAACAAAGAAGTTACATGAAACTTCTTAAACAACAAAGCCCCAATGAATGAATAAATGAAAACATGAGTTTTTTTTCTTTGCTATTTTTTTCTTTTTGTCTTATTTGTTCATTTATCTGTTTTGGGGGGCTTAGGGGGGAACAGAAGTACAGGGACAAGGGTGAACAAATGCAGCACCATGTGGAAAATGGACTATACAACTTGTGGGTGGGGATGGAAAAATTAGGACAGAGTGAGGGAAGGGGTGACATTGTCCAAAAAGAAATGTACTCTTTATCTGACTGATGTAACTGTAATCCCTCTGTACATCACCTTTATAATAAGAATAAAATTAAAAAAAAAAAGAACAAAGCACTTGGCCCCCTGAAAGCTGGGCCTGATGACAAAGGCATTCCTAAAGGTGTGAATAGAAAACACTGGGGCCACTAAGGGAGGCCAGCGAGACAGGCAGACAAGGGGCTCTGGGCAGTCTGGAGCCACCAGCTGACCTAGGTTCTGTCCCTGCGATGGACGAGGCTGGGCAAACAGAAAGCCTTTTGGTGGACAGGCAGGGAGGAAGTGTTTCCACTGCAAGCCAGTTGCACATACTCTTGAAGGTCTGGTTAAAAAGATCTCTCATGCAGAGGCCAGAGAACTTGCCCAAGGCTGCACAGCTAGCAAGGGGCACAGCCAGGACTGGTTCATATCACAGCCTGAGGCAGTAGCCGATGCTCAAGATGCTTCTCAAGATGCTTTTCTATTGCTTTCCCTTTTCCCTTTTCACATCTACATCATGCAGGGGCACTGGAGCTTCCAACTAAGTAAGTATATGAGTGGCCATCAAGGGTTAGCAAGCAAGTCTTGGGTCCAGACTAGCAGGTGACAGTTGGGTTAAGTCACTGTCCCCAGTCTCAGGCCTCCCATTGGCCAGGCAGCTCTTGTCACAAGAGAAGGCTGCAGGCTTCACATCTCAAATAAAGCCCCTGGCCTTGGTGCCTATGAGCTGGGGAGAGAGATGCGGACAGGAACAGAGGGCAAGGCAAGGCAGAGAAGCAGGTGGGGCCTATAGAGGAGCTGAGAGGCCCAGAGAGGACAGACCAGCCAGCAGACATGACACCAACTGGTTCCGCTCTAACACTCGGGACAGCGCTTCGAACACATCTCTTTATCCTCTCCCCCTCGCCATCCCCACCAACACTATGGGTGTGCTCATGTATAAATGACTGCCTCCCAGAGCTGGTGGGAGGGGACATGAGTGGGCACAGGTTAGGCACTTAGGACAATGCTGCACAGCAAGATTCTGTCAGTCCTACAGAAAGAACAACTACAGCAGTACTGTGCAGGGCAGCCCTGGCACCTCGAGGAACCCTGAGACAGAATAACACCAAGGGAGGCTGCCAGCCCAGGCTCCCGATATAGCTGATCCTGGGCTCTCTCCTCTAATGTGGTAAGTTAGAGACACTTTGCCCAGGATGGCAAAGAAAAGGCCACACCATTCCAGGATGGTGACCCGCCTGCCCTGGGCCCAGGAGAGGGTGAGGCTGGCCTGGTGGGAGGCCTACCTTCAGATGCTCCATCCTCTCCTGCTGGCTCAGGAAGTCCCGGTCATCAGTACTGGGGGGCCCAGGAGGCTGGGTGAAGTCCTGGGTGACCTTCTCCGAGAGCTTGCAGATGACCTGCTGCTTGGCCTGGTTCTTGTCCATGAGCAGCTGCACGTGCTGCTGCAGCTCCTGCACCTGCTGCTCCCGCAGGCCGGCTTCGTGTGCCAGGTGCTCCCGCTCCTGCTCCAAGGCCTCCACCCGCCGGCTCAGCTCCTCAATCTGACGCACTTTGTGCCGCACCAGCTCCAGCCGGTCCTTGTCCTTGGCCGCTGCCAAGTAGGCACTAGATGCCCGCTTCTCCTGCTGGGCAGCCTCCAGGGCTTTGTGCAGGATCTTCACCAACTCCTGGGAGGAAAGAGGGGGCAGAGGCGTGTCCATAGGCTCAGGGAAGGCCTGACAGGTGCCAGAGAGGGAACACACTCTCTAGTCCTAACAACACTTCCAAGTGTCCTGTAGAGGCCCTGGGCATCTTATCTCAAGACTCATTTCTGCCTTCTCTGTCTAGCAGAGTGCTGGCTGGACAGTCTGTGGAGCAGGTGACTATTCTGCCCAAATGGGAATGTGGGCAGCTTCACCCCTGAAACCAGTAGACACATTCCCGGGGTCCAGTTCCTTTTGGTAATTCTGCCTGAGAAGTGCTAGGTACAAGGGCAGCCACTTCAGACCCACAAGTTCATATTGAGGGTGACAGAGTCTCCCCTCCCCCCCATTCCAGCAGCTCAGAGCTGCTCACACTTAACTGGACCCCTCGGTGTTAGAGGGAGAAACTCTGAATTTGTTTTAGGATCTAACACTTGGAGGCTCCTTTGTTATAGTGGCTGAACCCATACTCTGATGTACACTGGTAATTTTCCAGGATGACTAAAGTCAGGTCCAGGAGAGCAGGGTGCAATTTGGTCCTGAAGCACTGACATTTCAAAGCTTGAGCTTAGTCGCTAGCAAAACCTGGGGCATGTATCACTCATCAATTGTGATATTTCTTTGTACAATGCCTAGTTGAGGCTTCTGAGTACTTCCCAATATAGCTTCCAAACAGTCACTTCCAATCAACTTGAGAGAGAATTAGAGGAAATACACTGGCACTCCACCATGCAAAGCTGCCCAGAGCTTATTCAATGCCCATCCCATCAAACACTGCAACGCCACTACAAGGAAATGCTGGAAAGTTCAGAAACAGATCTTAATTTCTTCCTTCTCCCCAGGGGCAATTAAACACAAGGGAACTCCAGGTCTGCGGGCCTCCTTGTTCCTTCAAGTCTCTACTTCCACCAGGAATGAGACTTCTTTTGGGGCCAGCATCAGAATACAGGAAGCTAGGTGCCTAGCTGCCAGGGCCATGTGGCAGAGATGGCCTTTGGCCACAGCGCTGTGCTCCAAGCTGGTCTTGGTTGGAGAAAACACGTTCTCTTAGAGATCTATCAACTATACTCATGCCAAAACGTTTAAATAGTTCAGCTGGATAGGATAACTTGCCAAGAAGAATGCCATTTTGGAGGAGAAACACTAAAAAAAAAATCACATTTGCATGAGTCTTCAAAAACCTCAGTACTAGTGACCATCCCTTTTCTGCTTCTCGTTTCCACACACCTATCCATGTGTCCAACCTTTACTGCCTGCCTGCTCATGCCAGGCCCTGGGCCACTGTTCCCTGAGAGGGAGCTGCCATGGTTCCCAACTCCCGGAGTGCAAAAGCTATTGAGGGGGGGCGGTGAGGGTGATAAACCACCTCCATGGAACAATTTCTGGTGTTTTGGGGACACAGGGTTGGGCACGTGTGGTGACTTCTGCCTGTGGAGGAGGTAGGAGGGGGTGGGAGACCAGAAGGCACACAGCAGTTTATACTGAGCCCTCAAGAATGGGGCCAGAGGTGACCAAGCAGCAAGTGAGGGGCAGAGGCGGGTACTTTCCAGGCTGACCTCCCCCCAGAAGGAAGCTGGAAGACAGGCTGAGGAAGGCCTGGAGAAAGGAAAGCGCAGGGTCAGAGGTGTGGCAGGAAGGTAGAGTGGGGTGGGTACACAACCCAGAATGCCTGGAATGTTCAGAATGAAGTGACCAGCTTCTCAGGGCTCTGGTGAGAGATTCACATTCCATTAGGTGAGTCTGGTTTGGCTGAGATCTGGCAATGGCCTGGGGTAACTGGTGAAGAGCCAGATACCATGCTGAGTCTCACTTCAAGATCAGAAGGGGGGGGAGGGGGGGAGGGGGTCCTTTCCCCCTGACTCTAAAGCTTACATCTGGATATCTTCTTCCCAAACTTGGCTCTCCCAGCCATCAGCCTGGAGGCTCTCCTCCATCCCCAGAGCCCTGCACAGAAAGTGATATGCTTGAGACTTTATGTTACTAAAGCACTGGTATTTTCATCACTAACTGAGCTTTAGGTGGTCCAAGTGGGTGGTGATCAGCTTACACAGGCCTCAGATCCTGCTATGGGGTACCTATGATTTGTATATCCAACACTTGATGTGTTGAAATTATCAAGAACTTAACCTAGGGTCCTTGGAGGTGTGTGTGGGGGATATCTTGGGGAGAGTGATTAGGATAAGGTGGTTGAGATGGGGACTCCATGCCTGAATTCTGACAACTTTGTAAGAGGGAGAGAGACCAGAAGAGACACAGATACACACATGTGTGTCTATGTCTTTTGCCATGTGCTGGCTTGCATTGCCTTGGGTCTCTGCCAGCAAGGAGACCGTCCATTCTAGGTGTGCTGATTCAACCTTGTATTTCCTGAATCAGGAGCCAAAATAAATCTCTTTATGAAGCAGCCTGCCTCAGGTATATCATTACAGTAACAGATCACAAACAGTCCCCATCCCATCTCAGAGAGCTTATCTAGCAAGGGTGGCCTCAGGCAAGTTACTTCACCCAACCTCTGTAGGCTCATAATTAGGATGGAGAAAAGAAGTCCACTCCAGGCAGAGCCACCTCAAGGATGGTAAGAAAAGTGTGCCAGGAATCCTTGTTCAGGATGAAGCAGGAGAAAGCCCCCCAAACCTCCTTCCATGATGGCAGGTATACAGCCAGAGATGTGGACTCAAGTCTGGCTGAGTTCAGGTCAGGGGCCACTCCTTGCCCCAGCCAGTCAAGATTCCTGAAAAAAAAAAAATTCTGCGTTTTTACCAAATCAACCCAAGGGAGCTAAGAGGCCCCTAAGGATCCGACCTTCCTGGCAGCCAACAGATGGCCATCTCCACCAGACAAGAGCTGGCCATCTGTCAGAGCAGATGGCCTTCAGGCTGGGTGTGGCTCCATTAGCTCCAAGGGCTTATGGCATTTGGCCCATCAGCCATCTGGTGCCATCTCCTGAAGCCCAGACCTTTTGTGGGGCCAGCACTGAGTGTAGCTGGACAGATAAGCGCTGTACAGGTAACAGGGTCACTGTGGTTCAATACACCAGCAGAGAGGAGCAGGACTTCCCTCGTGTGTTCCAAAAGGCAGTCCCAGTGCTGGAGTCTGAGACTAGGCCATGTGATCAGGGAGAGAAGGTGGCTTGGGCTGGAAGGGGAGACTGGGGCCCCAGGCCTGGCTCTACCAGCTGTGTGACTTCAGGCAAGCTACCCACCTTCCCTGAGCCCCTCAGGCATGGCATGGTTAAAGGATGAAGACTCTCCAGGAAGAGAGACTAGGTCTGAAGTCTCCGCTCAGCCCTGCTGAGGATCTGAGAAGCTCTCAGATTCTGTTTCCTGTGCAGGAGTGCCAGGAAGTGCCAGCACAGTGCTGGAGCACAGAGTTTGCTCCGATTTGTAGCTCAGAGTTCAAGATATAAATCCCTCCCCTCTCCCCCCCTCCCCGTTACTGAAGACACGCGAGGGCCACATGGCTGGCTGAGCTAGGACAAGAGCTCTGTTCTCATGTCTCCCTAAGGCTAGGAGCATACAGAAAGAAGCTTCTTCCTGCATCAGACAAAGGGAAGCACTTGCAGTGTGGACCCTGGGGAAGCCAGGGTCCCACAGAGGAGTTGGACTCTAAGGGTCTCAGTTAAAATGCTTCCCACCCAGAATTTTTTGTTGTTATTTTTGTTGTGGTGGTTTCTTTGGGCAGTACTGGGGTTTAAACTCGGAGCCTTGTCCTTGCCAGGCAGGTGTTCTGAGCTGAGCTGCACTTCGGTCCTTTTGCCTTACTTATTTTTTTTTTTTTGTATTTTTTGCCTGAGGCCAGCCTTGGACTGTGATTCACCTTCTTATGCTCCCCAGGTAGTTAGGACCGGAGTATGCAATCAATATATTTATTGAGAAAGAGGTCTCAGTAACTTTTTTTCCTGGGGTGATCTAAAACCACAATAATCCCAGTCTCCACCCCCTGAATAACTGCCCCACTCACTACTTTTGGGGGTTTGGGGACCACTGGACACCTAAAGATGAGCTGTCTTCTCTGTTATGCCTTCCTCTGCCTCACTTCAGAGCCAGGAGTTAGGTCTCCTTACTCTCCTCTCCCTCTGGTTGTGGCGTCTAGGCTGCTGGTGACCCTAAGAGCTGGTAGGGCGGGAGCAAATGAAGACCTGGCCTCTGTGTCACTGCCGTGGTCTGTGAACTCACTTTCCCACAGGCTATGATGGCATTCCCTGTGGGGTACTTGCTCCAGTAAGGTTGGAAGGAATCCGCACTGGGAACAGATGTGTACAGCACATCGGGTCAATTTGTGGGGTGCCCTCAGCCTTATGTTCCAGATATGGTCTCTCCCCGCCCCTCCCACACACACCCCCCCCGCCCCCAGCAGAGCTACAAATGCATCCACACAGGGGAAACAGGCTGAAAGGTGAAGGGACTTGCTTACAGCCAGAATCCAGGCCATGTTGTGCTTTGCCATAAAGATGTGCTGAGAGTAACCTCTAGACTGCCACACAGGAGATGGCTAGGAACCATGGCAAACCACGCACACTACAGCTTTATCTTCCAGCCACCTTCCTGTAGCATACACTGGAAGTTATAGTAAAAAATTTAACTTTGTGTGTGTGTGTGTGTATGCTGGTCCTGGGGCTTAAACCAGGGCCTGCGTGCTACCCGTCCCCCTCCTTCACTTGTGGCATTGTAGGGGGGTGGTGGTGTTCATTGGAGATAAGAGTCTCATGGAATTTTCTGCCCTGGCTGGCTTCAAACTGTGATCCTCAGATCTCACCTCCTGAATAGCTGGGATTATAGGTGTAAGTTACTGGTGCCTGGCAAACAACTCCAGTATTTTGAAAACCTGAACAACTACATCATGACCTTTCCTCTCTGAGTGGATGTGAGCTGTCCACAGCTTGGCAACTCTTCCAAACCCCCAGAGTCCTCCTTCCTTTACAGGTGGAAAGTGAGTCCTCCACGGGTGCCAGGGGCACACTGCTCCCGTGGCCTTGTACTATGTCTAACAGTTCGTCCTGTTTTAGAAAGAAAGGCAGGGTCGGGGACTGCTCACAGATTCTGGAATGTGAGAGGAGTGGCGGTGTTCACAGGAAGTTCCTTTTGCTTCCAGATCTGGCTTTGAGAGTTCGCTGGACTAGGGGGCCTGGAGCAGCTACTGCTCTGCCAAGTAACACTTAGCTCTCTACAGCATCCAACAGCCTTGATAGGAAGACCAAGATGAGAGAGTACAAGACAGATGGCTGGGGTGAGAGGAACTGAGCTCTCCGTCCCATGGCATCACTGTGTGCTGTGAGTGGTTCTGGGGCGCTGGGTCTGCTGGATGCCACCTGTCTGAAATTTGAGTGCTTGAGGGCGGGGTCTGTGTCCTCAGCCCTCTGCTTTTTCCCAGCACCTGGGCCTGTGATAGGCCCACAGTGAAGACTTGGGAAATACACCAATGAACTAAGAAGGCAAAATGAATGATCTACCCCTCTAATCACCAGTATGTCATTAAATGTAGCCCCTGGCCTACCAGAAATACAGCCTTTGTCAGTTCCCGGTGGTGGTGACTGCTGTGGGACTGGAAAGGCTGAGAAGGAGCAAAATTTAGGTAGGCCGAGCACGTTTCTGAACGGTCTTCTCCAAAAGCAGAGAAGAGAAGACAAAGAGGTGTCTATGAGAGGGCCAAAGACTTGGCCACATAGGAGTACATACATGCCCCATTCCCAGCAAGAGTCTTCTAGAGCAAGGGCCACAAAAGGAAGTTTGGGGAGGGCGGGGCAGTTCCTCAGAACAGACAAAGCTCAAACACAAAAGCTTAGGTCTTTCTCTTGGAGGAAGATGAGGCTGGGCCCTCCCTCAGAGCCCACATCACTGCAAGGGGCCTGAGAGGTCCCTGGGATTTAGGGTAACAACTGTGCAACTGTGCTACTTGTATTGCTTTTGTCATCCTGCAAGGTCTCCTGCCAGTGTGGCAGCCCACCAGCACCCCCACTGTACCCCCGGTTCCTCATGAGGTGGCTCCAGGGTTAAACCCATCTACTCTTTGAGTTGTAGCACTTTATAAATCATTTTAACATCTCTGGCTGTTTTGAAGTATGATCACATAGCTCTCCCTTTCTGTGACTCCTATGCTTAACTGCCAGCTGTGTTAAATCTCAATTTTCCGTAAGTCAAGTCACTGTCTTATTTGGTCCTGGCTGAGCTCTGGGCCACACCCTGAGTGTGCTGTGCTCTCAATCTGTCTTTCTCTTCCCCCTCACTCCCTTCCCTGTGACATTGTCATGTTCTCTCTCTCTTTCTCTCTTGTGATACCCAGTCATCAACTTCTAGCTCCAGTTCCACCATCTGCCCCTCCCAAGAACCTGCATCTCAACCACCCCTCCAAACACTGCCTTTCTTCTGGGTTAGGCCATGACTCTCCGGAATGCCTTTAAGAGACAATATTAAAATAGGTCTTCAGAGATCCCTGATGTTGGTGGCTTTTTGTCACCTAATGTGACTGACAGCAGACTAGCTTCTCTTCTCCTGGAGTTGGTTCTTTAAAGGCCACTGGCTGGGCTGTGCCCAGCAGGGAAGATGCACTATGTGTAGTCATCCACAAAGTTCTAAGCTCAGGGGCTGCACAGGGACCTCAGGCCTCCTGGGTAGGAGCCACAACTCACCTTCTGGGACTGTAACTCGGTAGTGAGCATCAGCACCTGCTGCTCCAATGCCACCACCTTCTCCTGGGCCGATCGGGTCCTGGCCAGCCCATCGGAAAAGAATGGGAAGGTGTTGCTCTGGCGCTTGGCTTTCTGTGTAACGTTGGTGGGCACCGAGGATTTGGGTACGGCCTTTGGAGAATCTGCTGGCTCTCTCCCTGCTTGAGAGGAGAAACAGAAACAGCACAGATCCTGGTCAGCCTAAAGGTCCACAGGTCTATAACCCTGAAAGTCATTTTTAAGCCTTTTCACAAGGAAGACAGGGAAGGGGAGAGGGAAGGAAGAATGGGAGGGAGGGAGGAAACATTTTCCTCTATTATTTTAAGCATCATTACAAGAGGTTCACTTGGGAAGATGAAAAGAATTCTGGAGGTAGATGGATGATGGTTGCATACAATTTGAACAGATTTAATCCACTTAATTAATTAACTGCATCTAAAGATGACAAAACTGCTCCCTCCACCAACCCACAGGCTTGAACTTAAGGCCTTGAGCTCTTGTTCAAGCTTTTTTCCTGATGCCTGGTGCTCTACCACTTTAGTCTTGCCTTCAGTCCAACTTTCTGCTAGTTAATTGGAGATGGAGTCTCATGGCCTTTTCTGCCCAGGCTGGTTTCCATCCATAATCATCTGGATCTTAGTGTCATGAATACCTAGGATTACAGGTGTGACTCATCAGTTTTTTTTTTTTTAATTTATTTTTTGTCAGTTGTGGGGCTTGAACTCTGGGCCTGGGCACTGTCCCTGAGCTCTCCAACTCAAGGCTAGCGCTCTACCACTTGAGTCACTTGTGGTTTTTTTTGTTGTTGTTGTTTATGTGGTGCTGAGAATCGAACCCAGGGCCTCATGCATGTGAGGCAGGCATTCTACCACTGAGCCGCCTTCCCAGCCCTTTATTTTTGTTTTCAGGTGAGCCTTGAACTCAAAACTTTCTGCCTCAGCCTCAAGAGTGCTGGGAATAGTATTGGCATGGACTATTACATTGTTTTATTTTTATTTGGGGGGGGCTTGAACTCTGGGTCTGGGCGCTGTCCCTCAGCACTTTAGGTCAAGGGTAGTACTCTACCACTTAAGCCATAGAACCACTTCCAGCTTTTTCTGCTTATGTGGTGCTGAGGAATCAAACCCAGGGCCTCATGCACGAAGCAAGCACTCTACCACCGAGCCTCCTTCCCAGCCCTATATCCAGTTTTAAAAGGGTAATTTTGTTAAGTATGTATCACCACAATAATTTTAAAAATCAGTGTTCCTTAATGTCTGGAAGCTCAGGATTGGTGAAGGGGAGCACTTCACATTTGACATACTCCTGTGGATTCAATGCAGTGTTCCCTACATTCCTCCAGTGAAGCCCTGGTCCCCAGTGTGGTGGGCTAGGAGGCGGGGCCCTCAGGAAGTAACTGGTTTAGAGGAGGACACAAGGGTGGAGCCTGAGACAGGATGGGTGCCCTTAGAAGGAAAGGAAGAGGTCAGAGCTCTGACTTCTAGTTATGGGAGTGGCCAGCGAGATGGCACTGTATGGAAGCCCAGCCCTCACTAGATGCTGAATTGACAGTGGCTCAACGGAGGCCTTCCAGCCTCCATCTGGCTGGGAGAAGAAAGTGTCATCTGTTTAAGCCATACAGTCTATGAATTTCGTTACAGGAGCATAAGTTTTGCAATCATGCATGCGCACACACCCTCCCCCCCCATACACACCAGTGCCAGGCAGAGAGGAAAGCACACATCCAGCTCAGAGGCCTGGCCTCTGAAAGCAACTCCCCCCCCACCCACTGTGCTCACCTGGGGTGCTGGGTTCAGGGCCTGAGGGCTGCTCCTCTCTCTGAGGCCCCCCACTTTGTGGGGACTCTTCCACCAGAGGTCCGTGGCCTGTCCCGTGGGCCTGCTTGTTGCCACGGATGTTGTGCATGGTATTTCTGAAAGGAGAAGCCAGGAGTGGGAGGCTGGCAGCCCCACACCCTTCCTGCTGTCTTCTGGCGGGGGATGGGGGCGGGCCTCACTTCCATGCCCCCCCCATCACCCCAGTCACCAGGAACTCTATGTGACTAATCCTCCCGAGAGCCTCCCCAGGCCCACACCATTCTCCTCCGTGCTTTCTCTTGGGCACACTGTGTGGTGTCTAGGAGCTGGGCTAGCTCCGGCCTGCTGCTAGATTATGAGTTCCATGTGTATCTACTACCCTTACTTGACAACAGTGCCTAAAATACAGATAGTGCCTCATATGTGCTGAGTGGACTGGCCAAGCTAACCCTCTAAGTCCTCCAGCTGGCCTCTTAACGACTTGGTTAGACCATTAAGGGCCCGGGGTACCTTTGCACTGGACGCCCAGGCTGCCCGCTGGCCAAGCACTTGTCTAGGCCGTGGCACTGTGTGCCGCTTCTTTAAGGCCTAGGCGCTGGATATTCAAGTTCAATACTTGTGTGGGTTATAGGAGGGAACTAGGTAGCACAAAGGCGGGTCTGAGAGCATGGCTCACAGAGAAATTCAAAACAAGTCACACGGAAAGACCACTTAACTGAGTTCCTTGCAAGATATAAAAGTGGACTTATTTCTCAAGCGGGAATCTAGAGGAAGGTGGGTGCCTGGATTAGAGGCTGCTTCTCTCCCCTCCCCCTCCATGGGAGCACAGTACTGCCCCTCTTCACACGTCCGGTGCAGTTCACCATGGAAGCCATCAGTCCCAAGGATTTTGATGGGAAATTGGATCTCCTTACTGTTGATTAGGTATACTTGGGTTATCTATTGCTTCTTGAGTCAATTCCACTAATTGGTGTCTTTCTAGGAATTTGTCCCTTATAGTCCTTTTCCTTTTCTTTTTTAAAGATAGGCTTTCCTCAATTCACAATCCTCTTGCCTTTTGCCTTGCCAGTGCTGGTATTACAGGCATGTATCACCACACCCTGGCCTTATAGTCCATTTTATGTTTGTAAGGTTGGTTAGTCATACCCCTTTTTTGACTCCAGTATAAGAAAAGAATGAGATCGTATTTATGGAGGGATTGAAGGAAAAATTAATTAAATTAAGGGCAGAGGGCCAGGAGCTGGTGGCTCACATCTGTCATCTTAGCTACTCAGGAGCCTGAGATCTGAGGATCGCAATTCAAAGCCAGCCCAACAGGAAAATCGGTGTGACTCTTATCTCCAGTTAACCACCTAAAAACCAGAAGTGGAACAGTGGCTCAAAGCGTTAGAGCGCTTACCTTGAGTAAAATAGCTTGCTCAGGGACAGTGCCCAAGTCCTGAGTTCAAGCTCTGACAAAAATAAAATAATAAAACTAAATAAAATAAATTAAAAGCAGAGAAGAAATGGAAATCCAATACTCCTAATGCCTGACCCAGGTCTGATTATAATGGCTTCAAGACTCCTTGGAATAGTATTTCCCCTCCCTAGTTCTTCCTTTCCCCCACTTAAGTAACCGTGGCCTGGATGAGTACATCACTGTGGGCTGGGTCCTGTCATGTGCTTTCACAAACCACAAGTTTCAGATGTTGCGGGACTCCGGGGAACATCCCTGCAGCCACAGGCTGGGCGGGGCATCGGCAATGGCTGCTCACACTTTCCCTTGTCAGGAAGCACAGCCTCTAACATATCCTAGGGCTTGTGACCAGTCACCCCTGGGGTATGTGAGGGTACAGGAACCCCAAGTTTAGGGCAGCAGAGTCTTTTAAGTCCTAGCATATTCGCCCTGGCACCAGGAGCTCCATGCTTTCTGACATGACCAGGTGAACACCACTCGGCAGCTAACTGTTCTTGAAGAATGTGTCTCTCTCACACGAATTTTTCTGCTTTGTTTGGAGTAATTCATAGACCAATTTCTTCCTTTTCTTTTTTTTTTGTTGGTTCCTAGAACTCAGGGCCTCATACTTTTGCTTGGCTTTCTTGCTCATGGCTGGCACTCTACCACTTGAGCTACACCTCGATTTCTGACTTTTTTGTGTGTGTCAGTTGTGGGGCTTAAACTCCATGCCTGGGTGCTGTCCCTGAGCTTTTTTGTTCAAGGCTAGTGCTCTACTACTGTGAGTAGTAGAGTGCCACTTCCAGTTTTCTGGGAGTTAATTGGAGGTAAATCTCATGGACTTTCCTGCTGGATTGGCTTTGAACTGTGATCTTCAGAGCTCAGACTCCTGAGTAGCTAGGATTACAGACGTGAGCCACCAGTGCCCAGCTTTATAGGTCATTTGCCATTTAGGGTGAAAGAGGAGAGCAACACAGTGACAGACAAAGATGTCTGCAGGGAGAAGCTTCAGCAAGCCCGTTTATCTCGGTTTCCTCAACTGCAATGGGTGTGATGAACACATCCACAACCAACACTGGTTGGGCTGTGCACATTCAGGGCTAAACATGGGTACAATCTGCTCACTGCAGCCTCACAACAACCCACGTATATAAGTACTGTTACATGCCCACTGGACAGAGAGGAAAGGTGAGATACAAGAGGATAAATAGAGTTGATGAGGGCAGGGCTGGATGCGAACTCAACGTCCGAGTGCTTAACTATGTTGCACATAATGATGTCATGACATAGTAAGGGCACAAGAAGCTGACACAGTGCTGGGGGGGGGGTCCCCGGCCCAAGGGTGACCTGTACTCATACAGCAAGCTCCCAGGCCTGCTAGGGTTCGGGGATTCGCTACACAAAGGCAGCTGAGCTTCAGCATCCTGCCCAGCCCGAGGCAACACAGGGCCCTTTTCTTACAGTGTTGCCTCATACTTTCTGCGGCCATCACGAGGGACTGGAGAGAAGTGACTGGGGGAATGCACTGAAACTTCCTTCCGTTCTCCATCTCTGCGTGTCCTCTCTTTTACTTCCACCGGGGCCTCTACCAGGCATGTGTCTGGCCACATCGAGGTGGGCCACCCCTGGGTGCCCGATGGCTGGACTCATCAGGCCTTTCCTGGCAGCACACTCCCAGTGCCCCCTGCCTTCCCTCCTCCTCCCCCCCCACCGCGCCCCTCCCCCCCATCCCTCAGGGATGGGTCTTGCAGATGCTTCTTATCCTCTGGAGGGCTTAACTGTCTGGTGTTATGGTGCCTCTTTCCAGCTTAGATATCTCCCTCTCCCCACCCTTCTCTCCCCTAGGTTCCAGGTCCCTCCCTCTAAATGCCAGCTGTGACCCCAAATTGACTTTTCTCTAATGCCTGCTTTGCTCCAGGGCAGGGCACTGCCCATCCTAGTCACAGACGCCACCAGAGATGCCTGGGCTTGAACTGCAGCAGCCAGGAGCCTTGTCCAAGTTCAGCAGGCAATCTAGTCTGCCCTAGGAGAGGGCTGGGGTCATCTGAGGTCTACAGAGAAAGTAAGAAGCCAAATGCAATCAGTGCTGGGCACAGATTGAATTCCTGACAGCTCGTTTCTCACCTGCGGCGACAATGGCAGCCACGGCCAGCTCTTCTTACATGCTTGGGATGGTGTGGTGCAGTTCTGACCCAGTCTGCGTGAATTCAGTCCCCCACTTTAACCTTGTCCAGCCACCCCTGTTGTGGGACTGTGGTTTGAACCCAGGATGCTAGCTCAACCTGAGCCACCTCCAACCCAACCCACTCTAACCTTGCAAAGTGAACAGTTATTATCACACAAAGGAAGGGAAGTAGAGAAAGCAAACAACTTTCCAAGGGTGGCATAGTCCATGACTGATGGAGCCAGGATCCAAACCCAGGCTGTCTCCAAACTGCTACCTTTTATACCACTGTTTAAAACAAAGCTGGACAATGGCAAAAGACATACATTATATACAAAAAACATGACAAAATAAATTATATATATTAAAAGTGAATAATTTGATGTTTGAGCTTTGTGAAACCATCATAATCTATTCCATTCAATATGATTTTGATTATACATATCTAAATGTAGAAAACAGAGGAAAGAGCTATACCAACTACCAAACATATTTGTATGATGAGATCTTGAGTAATTGGTGGGGGTACGGGGGAAGATTATGAGTAATTTTTTTTGAGATGGTCTTACCATGTAGGAAGAGGGTGGCTTTATGTGCTCTATTTTCCATTAATCACATGAAATATTTAAAATTTCAGGTGCAATTGTATATTCCTGTAGTCTCAGCACTTAGGAGGCTGAGGCATGAGAATCTTGAGTTCAAGGCCAGCCCAGACAAAAAATTCATGAGACCCACTTCTCAACCATAAGATGGTGGTTCATACCTGTGGCCCAATGACCAGAAAGCAGTTAGGAGGAGTGCAATCTGAGGTCATCCGAGGCAAAAATGCAAGGCCCTATCCAAAAGATACCTACAGCAAAAAGGTCTGAAGTCATAGCTTAAGTGGTATAGTGCTTGTAGTGAGCATGAGGCCTGGACTTCAAGCCTCAGTTAAGGAAGGGGCTGCTGGAGGCCTGGCTGCCCCCTACCCCACTGACACTTACTGTATTTCTGTTCCTAGGTGCTTGAGAGAGATGTTGTGGAGGGCAGAAGGCATGGCAGGGGCCGGCTGCAGGGCGGCCGCCACCCCCACCAGCCCAGTGGGCGTTTTCACAGGACACAGGAACTCCTCCAGCGCTGCCTCCTCGCCTTGTCCTGGGGAGCCAAGGACAGAGCAACCTATGAGCACTGTACATGCAAAGAGCTGACCTGTGCTGGGCTCAGCCCATGCCCATAGCAAGGAGGGTTTGGACAGCTGCCCAAACAGCCAGCCTGCCTTGCAGGTTAACTGCAGCAGCGGGAGCTTTTCCAGCATCTCTGCAGCCTAGAAACAGATTGGTTTGCTGCTGTAGCCCTCCTGGAAACCCCTTGAAAAAAGGCACACTTGCAGATATCTTCTTTTTTTGGTCTGGGACTGGGACTTGAACTTGGTACCTGACACATTTACTCATTGACTAGTGCTCTACTGCAGAGCCACGCCTCCAACCTCAGACCTGCAGATATTGAATCCTACATCGAGAATCCATCCTGAAGAAGTCTGAGATGCATAGAAACTTTATATGCCAAGGGTCCACCCTGGCCTTGCTTGCAATAGCCTTAAGTCAGGACTTATGTAAAGCTCTAAAAACTTGGAACCAGGTTAGGTATATTGTGATGCTTTCATCAAATAGAAGAGTAAAGAGGTAGTACGTTGAGAAGCTATGATGGATGGAGAGTTATAAACAGCAGGAAAGAACCAGGACTGCTTAAATGATTAAGTTTCTTGATTCATCAAGAAACTTACTTGGCTGCCGATACCTTTCATTTGGAGCCCTCTTGGTGAGAGGCTGAAAAACTTAGGGAGAGGAATTCACTTGTGCATTATATCTGCCAACAACACTAAACACAATGGAAGGGCCAGAGAAAGCTATTCCACTTGAGGAAAGCTTGGCAATCATTGAAACAAATGGGACAATACACTGGCTAGTTGCCAAAAGGCTGTGCCAGGTAGTCTGGCTGCTCAGTACTTGGCAACACCAAAAGCCATTCGTGTGTGTGTGTGTGTGTGAGCTCAGGGCCTAGGTGCTGTCCCCGTCTTTTTTGCTCAAGTACAGCTCCACTTCCGGCTTTTTTTTTTTTGTGATTCATTGGAGATAAGAATCTCATGGTGGGGGTGGGTGGGAGGAGTTGGTGGAGAGGGAAGTGATGGTAGGGGGAAAACAAGGGAGTGCTCGCTACAAAATGTACTCATTACCCTACTCATGTAACTGTAACACCTCTGTACAACATTATACATATACACATATATATGTATATATAATTTCATGGTCTTTCCTGGCCAGCCTGGCTTTGAACTGCAATCCACTGGTTGCTGTTCTTTTCTTTCTTTCTTTTTTTTTGCCAGTCCTGGGCTTGAACTCTGGGCCTGGGCACTGCCCCTGAGCTCTTCAGCTCAGGCGAGCACTCTACCACTTGAGCCACAGCGCCACTTCTGGCTTTTTCTGCTTATGTGGTGCTAAGGAATTGAACCCAGGGCCTCATGCATGCAAAGCAAGCACTCTACCACTGAGCCACCTTCCCAGCCCCTGGTTGCTTTTCTTGATGAGGAAAAGGCAGGAGGTCCATGGTCAGAATCAAAGCTGGCAGGTGAAAGTTATGGCTTCAAATGCATTTCTGCTTTTCCACTAAAGGTGGGACTCACGGGGATCCCTCTCTGGTAGAGGCAGCTGGGAAGAGCCAGCTAGTAGAGAGGGAGGGCTGCCCACCACTGGCATTAGTGCTTTGCAGAAACAGGATCCAAAGCCTGAGGCCCAGGAAAAAGCCCTCAGGGAGGTGACCACACAACATACATTTAGGCCATGGGTTTACGATTCTCCCACTGAGCCGTTGATTGCCTATCTATATTATCATATAGATCTGGATTTTTCCCCCCTTTCATCTTTGTTGGCACAGTGGAAGACTATGGTTTAGGAGACATATGAAATAGTTGTAAATGATGAAAAGCTGAGGAGAGTATGTCCTGCAGATTGCTCAAAGGCAGTGACCATAGGCTTTCTACAGCACAGCATCCCTGACTCAGAGTCACAAGCAGCTCAGAAGGCCTCCCCTAGCCTGGGGTGGGCCCTGCTTCCTCAGGAAGGGCAGGGCTGCAGTGGTGGAGCAGCCTGCTCCAGGCAGTGGATCCGTAGCAGCTCGTAGACTTGCTCAATTCTCCAGCAAGCCTGTTTGGCTTTGGCCCTGAGTCTGGGAGATTTGACTTGGTTTCCTGTGGGACAGGTCTCAGGAAGGGAAGCCTCCTGAGTCTGCTACCACCCTGCTCACTGCAATCATGGGGCCTGTGCCTCCACCCCCAGCCCCAGTGGGGCTGGCTCAAACAGGCCCCGCCGTGTGTGTGTGTGTGTGTGTGTGTGTGTGTGTGTGTGTGTGTGTGTGTGTGTGTGTGTGTGTGTGTGTGTGTGTGTGTGTGTGTTGAAGCAAAGCCACAGAATTAAGCACGCAGACCAGCTCTTCCACAGAAGAGGCCTGTGGGGATCCCTCAACAGGCCCCGCCGTGTGTGTGTGGTGTGTGTGTGTGTGGGTGTGTGGGTGTGTGTGTGTGTGTTGAAGCAAAGCCACAGAATTAAGCACACAGACCAGCTCTACCACAGAAGAGGCCTGTGGGGGTCCCAGGCCACGGACAAGCTGGTTATCCACATTTCAGTTCAGCAAGGAGGCTTTCTCTGGTGTCTAGGCTTTTCCATGAGGTTGGCTTTTGGCAATTGGTGTCTATCAGGGTCAGGGGGTTGGTGACTTGTCACTGCTTGAGGTCAAGGAAACATGGTACATGGGGTCATCTACCAAGGGAGAGACTCTCATGGGCAGATCCACCTGTGATAGACATGTGAAGCATCCAGGGACAGAGGCCCAGGAGGCAGCTACACCAAGTCCTGCCTTTGCCTATTTAACAGCATGGCAACTTGACGTGCAGCGTTTCAGACACTCTGTGACTTGGTCCTAGAACCTGAAAGTCCACACCGTTGCAGGGGAAGTTGGCGGGGCAGAGTGCCCTTCCCATAAATGAAATTTCCCAGTCATATTCCTGGCTGGGGCACAGTGGTGGGAGGGTATGATCTCCAGACTCATCTATGTTGTAACAGTCTAGAACTCGGGATCAAACAAGTTCACTTGTGGCCAGGCATGGTGGTATACACCTGTAATCTCAGCACTTTAGAGTCAGGGGGAAGAAGAACCAGAGTTCTAGGCCAGCCTGAGCTACAAAAGCCAAGGGCTAGGGATGTAGCTCATTGGTAGAATATTTGGCTAGCACCACAAATAAATAAGTGAACAAACAAACAAATGAATGAAAGACTTCAGTGCTGAAGCAGGTGGGACAAACAACTCTGTCCTCTGGAAACAATAGACAGGTGCCAGCTCACAGCACGAAAGCATTTGCAGAGGAAGCCTCCACAGCACGGCATCTGTTCTTAGCTTCTCCTCAACTCTATGTAGGTTTTACTTCGTGAGACATCCCATAATATTGTCATGACAGCAGCTGACGTCTTGTAGGCTCTGACAACACAGAGACGTTCTGACCATGTGAGGTGTATAGACTCACTTAAGCTTCACAACTTTTCTAAGAAGCAGGAATTATTGATTGATTTGTTGCCAGTTCTGCCAGTTCTGGGGCTTGAACTAAAGGCCTGTGTGCTAGCTCTGAGCTCTTTCTTTTTTGCTACCACTTTCACCCACAATCACATTTCTGTCTTTTTTTTTTTTTTAAGTGGTTGGAGAGTCTCATGAACTTTCCTGCCTGAACTGGCTTTAAACTGTGATCCTTAGATCTCAGCCTCCTGAGTAGCTAGGATTTGAGGTGTGAGCCACCAGCACAGCACTGAGATCTTTGGTATTGTTGTTTTAATAGCAGTTATTCAAAGAAGTTATAATCTCCTAATTCAGGTTATAAGGACAATTCTTCTTGGCCAATGTCACCCCTTCCTTTGCCCTCCCCCATTTTCCCCCTCTTGTCCTCACCCTCAAGTTTGAATCATTTCTTAAACTCAATTTATGGGGAAGGAAACAAGCAGGACAAGTAATGCAATGTGCCTAAAATCACATGACGTTAGGATTTGAACCCAGGCCTCCAGACCTTGCTCTTACCCTTATTAGTCTGTGGCTTTCATCTTCCTTTGAAGGGGGGAGGGTCAGGCCCACTCATCCCCAGCAGCAGGGGAAAGGCTTGACCCCCAGAGCCCTGGGTGTGTGGCAGGAGCACATCCATCCATAGCTAGTACATACCTAGATCCAGATGCAGGGCAGGCCCGTTCCCGGCCAGGGTGGGGTCCAGGGCGGCAGGAGGGGCCCGAGGGCTATTGTGGAATTCCCAGCGCTTCATCTGTAGCTGCTGCAGCCAGTACAGCATCACTTGTTTGGTAGGAGCCTGAGAAGCATAGGTTTAGATGGCAAGGCCCGGTGCCTACTGGGTGGCACGGGTATGCTTGTGGGAGAAGGTCACAGGCGGCTCAGGCCTTCTCTCTTCCCCTCCCCCCACAAAATATTGTCAGTGTGGATGGGTACCCACCTCGGCTCTGAGCTCCCATTCTAAGGTTCCTTAACCTCTTTGGGCTTGTTTCCTCATAAACAGCTGCTTTATAGAATAGATATAAAGAGCTGGGTTTTGGTGGCTAATACCTGTAAGCCTAGCTATTCAGGATCAAGGTTCAAAGCCAGCTTGGGCAGGAAAGTCCGTGAGACTTTTTGTTGTTGTTGATGGTGGTGGTGGGGGCTTGAACTCAGGACCTAGGTGCTGTCCCTGAGTTCTTTTGCTCAATGCTAGTGCTCTACCACTTTGAGCCAGAGTGCCACTTCTGGTTTTCTGGAGATTTGTTGAAGATAAGAGTTTCGGGGGAGGGGGGGCGCTGGGAATGTGGTTCAGTGGTAGAGTGCTTGCCTTGCATGCATGAGGCCCTGGGTTTGATTCCTCAACACCACATAGGCAGAAAAAAAAAGCCAGAAGTGGCGCTGAGGCTCAAGGGATAGAGTGCTAGCCTTGAGCTGAAGAGCTGAGGGACAGAACCCAGGCCCAAAGTTCAGACCCCACGAACGGACACCCCCCCAAAAAAAAACAGTTTCACGGGGGACTTTTCTGCCTGGGTTCGCTTTGAACTGCCATCCTCAGATCTCAGCCTCCGGAGTAGCTAGGATTACAGATGTGAGCCACTGGTGCTCATGAGACTCTCATCTCCAATTAAGCACCAGAAAACTGGAAGTGGAGCTGTGGCTCGAAATGGTAGAGTGCTAACCTTGAGTGGTAAAGCTCAGGGACAGTGCCTAGGCTCTGAATTCAAGCCCTATGACCAAGAACAACAAAAATAAATAAATAAAATAGATATAAGGATGAAATGTCCAACACAGCATCTGGCACATAGCAGATGCTCCAACTGTGTTTGCTGGACAGAGGAGCAGGGGAGATTGTCTCTGCTGCGACACAAGGAAAAGGGCTGTGGAACTCTGATGAGGGTGGGCCCTGGCCCCATTTTCTGTGATGTGATGGGGGCTGCAGGTTGCAATGAAACCCTGGGAAGCCACACACACACCATGACAAAGTGGTAGCAGTCTAGGGGCTTCAGCACGGCAAACAAATTAGCAGTAAGTGCTGGCGCTGATTTCTTAGCACTGGATGGTCCAAGGGTCCACTTTCACATCCAGTAACTTCCTGGCCCTTGGGGAGGGACCAGCCATTTCTATATATCTCCGGATGGCCTAGGCATATTTGAGTAGTGCTGGTCCCAGAACCTGGTCTTCCATTTCTAGACTAGAACTTGATTGTCATCTGTAGTCAGGAGATGTGTGGCTTACAAGAGAAGGCATGAGATCATATGGGCACAGAGGATGGCAGTGGGCAGACAGTGAGCCCCACCAAACTGCTCATAATTAAGGTCCTATGACAGCAGTAGCAAGCTCTGCGGGCAAGCAAGACAAACTCTACCTTAGAGAACCACAGATGAGGGGTGTGGGAGTACTCATGAAAGACCCAAGCCTGTCATGCAGGTAGTTATGAGATGGAATGATGACCAGCAATCTTCTCTTTCCATCCAGGGTCCCTCAGAGACCACAGCCCCTTCCTTGACCTTAATGCTGACAAACTCTGCCCAAGCCCTAACAACCCCTTTATTAAACAAGTCACAAGACACATATATACTGAGCACTTACTCTGTGTCAGAATCAGTTCTAGACCCTGAGCCAATCCAACTAGGCAGCCAGCTAGTCACTTGGGCCATCCCTTGCCATCTCTCCATATTCCACTGCCCTCTGCCTTTCCCCAGCTCTAGTTCAACCACCATTCCCTCTGCATGGGCCCCTGACTCCGGATTCACCTTTCCCTAATCCGTCTTTACCTAGCAGCCAGAATGAGCTCTGTGAGCATTCCAGTCTCATTATTCTTCCTCACTCAGGGTTCTTAAACGACTTCCATAACCTACAGGACAAAGTCCAAGCTTCTTAGTCCACCCCTACACCTCTTCAAAATGCTCTACCATTTAAAAAACCCCAAAACACTTTTTAGTCTTTTTTTTTTTTGAAGCAGAATCTCAAGCTGGCCTTGAACTTGCTCTGTAGCCCAAATTGGCCTCAAACGCATCACCCTTAGTGCTCTAGATTACAGGTGTACATCACGATGCCTTGTTTCCACCTGATCTTCTAGGCCCTGTACATGTATCCTAGGCTCCAATAATTTGCTTGGCAGTTATGAGTGCATCATTGTTTCCCTCCCTCCTTCTTTCATTTCTTCTTTCTCCTCCCCCCACTCTCTCTTTCTTCCTTTTTTTAATATTGTACAAAGGACATGATGGTTTCTGATGTCTCAGCCTGCAGCACCCTCCTCCCTTTTGTCTTCTGGTCACAGCACAGTTCTAGGTCATAGGGATGCCTTGCTGGATAGCCCCTCCCCCTCTGGTCACCTCCTTTTCCTGGTAAGGCATCTCACTGTGTTCCCCACCCCAAGTCAGCCTGACTCATCACACCTTAAGGAGTGTTGAGGGTGGCTTGCGGGCAGGGACAGGTCTAAGCACTCTATATCCCAGGGCCTAGCTCAGAGCCAGGCACATTCAAGGATTCATGGAATAGTAAAAACCACATGTTCAACAACCTGTACCTAGCACTTCACTTATAGAAGGAGACCCAGGAAGATTAGCCCTCTAAAATGCCTTTCTTGCCATTATTATTGTTGTTGTTGTTGTTATTGTCATTATTTTGTTGATTGTGGGGGCTGAACTCTGGGCCTGGGTGCTGTCCCTCAGCTCTTCAGCTCAAGGCTAGTACTCTACCACTTGAGCCATAGTGCCACTTCCAGTCTATTCTGCGTATGTGGTGCTGAGGAGTAGAATCCAGGATATCATGCATGCAAGGCAAGCACTCTACAATGGGCCACCTTCCCAGCCTTCTTGCCATTATTTTAATTGAGTCCTCCAATGTGGTCATCAGCCAAGACTCAAGGAGAACCAAACATGTAGGCATCCGGATGCCAAAGCATCTGGAGGTTAGAAAATGGGGAGGTGGGGATGGGGATGGGGAGGGAGGCAACCTTCTTGGACTTGTCTCTGCCACCCATATCTGTCTTCCCAGTGAAGTGGTGGTACACTTCCTCTTCACACACACATTCTGCCTGGTTTCCATTATCCTGCCTATGCAAGTGTGTTCATCCAGCAAGCATTTACCAAGTATCCACTAGTTTAGACATGCTCAGCTGAACAATATAGGCTGACCAGCGAAACCTATCTGTTTTCCCTCCTAATCTCTGCCAACGTGAGCTTCACTTCCTTCAGCCAAAACATCAAGAAGGGAATCCTGGCCTTGAGGACAGTGACCATGGTACCTTGACCATAATCCCAAGTGAGAAAGTTACAGCCACTGTAGTTAGGCACACCCCAGAACAGTTTACATAACAACAAGAGGTACAAAGACTCAAGGATAGCTCGGCTCTGGTGTCTCATACCTGTAATCCTGGCTGCTCAGAAGATTAGACCTAAGGATGGTGATTTGAAGCCAGCTGGGCAGCCAAATCTGAGAGATTCTTCTCTCCAATTAACCAGCAAAATATCTGAAGTGTGGCTCAAGTGGTAGAGCACCAGATTTGAGCAGAAAAAGCCAAGGGACAGCACCCAGGCTCAATACCAGCACAGCACAAACCAAACCAAACTAAACGGAACCCGCCCTCCCACCCCCACCCCAAGCCTCCAGGATTTTAAGCGCAGACCACACCACTCGGCAGGCCGTTCACTTGGTCTCTCAATCACTCAGTTTCTTAAGCCATGGAATGAGGGCCCGGTCCATGCCCAGGGGCACACACGGAGGAAATGGGTGGGAAAGCCTTTGTAAAGCTCGAGCTCAGGGCACTCGGAGGTGATCACTCCAGAGGTCACCTAGGGGGAGGACACCGTTCCACTTACCTTGAGGGTGATCACCCGGCTGGGGGTCTTGATCTCGAAAGTCCCCTCCTCGGCGGCGACCTTGCAGTCGAAGACCGCACTGGAGAGGTCGATGCTGTCCAGGGGGTTAGCGTCCTGCGCCGTCCGCGAGTAATACAGGTGGCATTTCCCCTCGTCGTAGAAGAACCAGCGGCATTTCCAGCCCCGGAGGGGCCCTTTACCGCCAAACTTACTTAAATATCCGCAGAGTTTCTTGGGGGCCGTTTCCAGGGACTGGGCGCAGCCCTCAGGCTCCAAGTCGGGGATCCTGGCCAACGCGGGGGGCTCTCTGGAGTCTGGCAGAGAAGGGGTAGATTCCGGGGTGTCCTCTCGAGTGCTCGCCATCGCTCCCAGCCGAAGCCCACGGAGGGACACTTAGCCCAAGCCCCGGAGACTCAGCCGGCAGCTCCAAAGAGGTGGACACCTGAGAGGGGGCGGGGCCACACACGCCCGTCCCCAGCAGAGGACAGAGAGCTCCGATTGGCTGACATGTATGAGCCGCAAAAGCGGTAAACCAGGTTGGGAGCTAGGCCCCGCCCCTGCCACCCGCAGGCCACGCCCCTCACGACCTCCATCGATTTCTCCAGGAAACGCCTACTTCCTGTCTTAAACTCCACCCTCCCGGCCATCTTTAGTGAGGGCAGCTCTCCGGTGCGAGGGGGACGCGGATTGGAGGCGTAGTAGCTCTGGATTAGGCTGGTGTGGGGAATGATTTGTGAAGAGACGACGGTTCCTGGCTTTATTGTTCTGATGGCTCGCCTAATAACATGGATGGCGCCTTCTATAGCCTCGTGGACCGCCCGCCTCTTCCCTTACCTCCAGGACCACCGTCCGGAGGGCGCATTACATAGTTATTGGCTGAGAGCGCGTCGGTCTCATAGTTCCACTTCCGGCGCTGTTCCGAGAGGGCGTGGCGTGCCGGGAGGGCGTGCCGTGCCGGGAGGCGGGGCGTTCAGGGAGGGCGGGGCTTTCCCTAAACCCCGCAATGAATCTCGGTGTGCCTCGGTCGGAAACCGCAGCGCTGCAGGTATGCAGTGCCAGGCCTAGGGCTCTAATCAAATGTCTAAATAAATAATAAATGAATATCTCAACAGTTATCGCGGGTCAAAACAACTGACACAACTTCCTGACTCCTTTTACCTCTTCTCAAGTTCCTCCCCAGGCTGTGCAGCTCTGCGCAGAAGCATCGTCCTTGCTCCTACCTTCACTCCCGGCCATCCCGGGAGGAATCCTGGCGCCAGGCCGGGGGCATCCACCAGAATCGGGGTGGGGAAGGAGGGACGGCTCTGACTGCACCTGCAGGATTTTCGGATTCTCTTTTCTGCCAGGTTGAGCCATTCACTGAGAATTTGATTGGATGAGAGAATTACGTACAAAAAGGGAAACTACACCATAATGGAATGGTATATTCGTCAGCTTAAAAATGAATGAAATTTATTAAAAGGGAATGAAATTCTGGTACATGCTACAACATGAATGGATATTAAGGGCATTACACTAAATGAAATAAGCTAGACCAAAGGACAAATATTGTCTAATTCTGCTTAGATGAGGTTTCATAAAGGCAGAAAGTATAATAGGAGAGTTATCAGAGCCTGGGGAAAGAATGGGAATTACTGTTTTCTGGACACAAAATTTCTTCTTTTCTTTTCCTTTCTTCTTCCTCCTCCTCTTCTTCCTCCTTCTTTTTAAACAAACAATTGTATGAGCCAGGTTCAGTGGCTTCTACCTGTAACTCCAGCTATTCAGGAGGAGGAGATCAGGAGGATTGTGGTTTGAACTTTGCCTGGAAAAAAAATTCATGACTCCTTTTTCAACCAATAAAAGCTAGGTGCAGTGGCTTCCAACTGACATCTCAGCTATAAGGGAAGCATAAATAGGAGGATCAAGGTCCAGGCAGGCCCAGGCATAAATGGGAGATCTTATTTAAAAATTAAAGCAAAATGGGATGGGGAGTGTGTCTCAAGTGGTAAAAGTGCCTGCCTACCTCGGAAGTACAAAACACCAAGTTCAAACCCTAGTACTGTGAGCAAAGTAAAGTCAGTATGATTTTAACTGACTGTGGTTGACATATGCTAGCTTGTATCACTGTGACAAAATGCCTGCAGAAAAAAAACAAAAAGAGGAGAAGGATTCCGTTGGTATCCCTTTTGCCTGTAGCAAGACAGAATGTCATGGTGGGAGCATGTAATAGAGCAAAGCTGTTCCTCCTAACAGCCAGAAAGAAGGAGGAGAAGAGGGAGGAGGTGGTGATGGTTAAGAGAGGCAAGGCTTCCCTTGTTCCATTACTCAAGGGCACACCCCAATAATCTTGTCTTATTAGGTCCTGCTCCTAAAGTTTACAACTCCTCCCAACAGTGCCATCACTTGAACTCTGGGGAAGGGGGGCAGGACATTTAAGATCCAGACCATAATCAAAAGCTATACACCTGTAGTGCACTCATGAGTTTAGAGATAACTATGAAGTCGTGAAACAAACCCCCAATCAATGCCATAAACATGTCCATTGCCTCCCAATGTTTCCAGATGCCCTCTTTTTATTGCAGTAACCTTAAAACGAGCTCTACCCTTGAAGTAAGGTCAGGTCTGGCCAGCGCCATATTGGCCACATAGTGGATGGTAGGATCTGGCATCTTGTCTTCATGCTGGGGGAAAGAAACCCCCTGCCCATCACCTGCCTCCCAGGTGATGGTCTGGCTGGCACTTGGGGCAGGCACTTGGCTGATAGGTTACTGACTCTGTCAGTCCAGTGCCTGGGACTGGGAATTTCCTGTGGACCTGTCTCCTGCGCCAACCCTATTTAGGCCAGAGCCAGCCCAACTGCCATTATGCCATGCCATATGTGTCTCTATGATTGTTTCCTGTGTCCTGGCTCCTGGCTACAGTCATCATGGTGTCCTAATTCAGCTCTCCATTGGAACTGAATTGTATTGTTGGTATTGTTTTTGTTCTTTCTTTCCTCTTTAGCCAGCTAAAAGCCCCCTCCCTTACCCCGGGCAAGCAACCTTCTGAACCTGATGTCTATGAGGTAAACTTCTTTAGCTTTTGCATATTAGTGATCCCATGGAATGTTTAGCTTTCTGTGTGTGGCTTATTTCACTTGGAGGGGTAGGAAACCTTTTATCTGTTAAGGGCCATTTGGATATTTATAACCTACAGAACTATCAATACAGGCAGAGGCCATGGACAACTGACGGAAAGCACATGTGTCTTCCCTGTCCTATGCCAAAAGATTTCATGGACTCATAGTGGTCCGGAGGGTGGACCTTCTCCATCCATGGTAATGTCTCCACACTCACCCATATTGTTGCAAACAGGCAGAACCTCCTTCTTTTTTAAGGGTGAATAATAAATACCCCCAATATATGTATATACTACATTTTCTTTATTTTGATTGCAGAATTTCTATTTGGGGTGATGAAAAGTATCTAGAAACAGTAGTGGTGATACTGTACAACACCGTGAATGTACTTAATGCCACAGAACTGTGCAATTAAAATGGTTAAAATGGCTCCCTCCCTCCCTCCCCCTCCTTCCTTTTTCCTTCCTTCCTTCCTTCCTTCCTTCCTTCCTTCCTTCCTTCCTTCCTTTTCTTCCTTCCTTTCTCTGTAATGCTAAGGTTTGAACTCAGAACCTCATGTTTACTGGCCTTTTTTTCTTTAGTTACTTTTCAAGTAGCTCCTCATGTTTGTACCTTGGCTGGGCTTGGATCATAATCCTATCTATGCCTCCCTTATGGCTAAAATGGCAAGTGTGATGTATATTTTACTCAAATTAAAGAGGTTTTAAAAAAGTGAATCCATGAAGAGACCCAGTGATGATAGCCCGACCTGCCTCGGATGCTGGTTGTGAGGATGCTTCAGGCTTCTGTGCAGCATCTCCAGGTCCACAGGACCCTTTATAAAACAAAAGCATTTAAGAGGGAAGGAGGGCCTCAGAAGCCTGACATGAAAGGCGGCAAAGAAGAAACTAAAGGTCGACAGGCCAACAAACATTTGAACTGTGTGTGCAGGAAGCCTATGAGGAGCCACATGGAAAGGCAAGGGTAGGGTGAGAAAGGTCCTTACAATACCTTACCTCAAACAGGACACAGTTAATAGCCACACACATGCAAATCAACGTGAGAAAGAAGGGGGGCGGGGGACTGAGGCATTGAGCGGTGACCTCTCTGTCTTTGTCACTGTCTCTGCTGTCTGTCTCCTTTTCTTAAAGCCATTGAGACACATGACACACATGGAAAAAAGACAGACCCAATCCCATTTGGGTGAAGAACACAATCTAACAGAAAACTTGCGATGGCTGTCGGCTGATGTTGGTGCTTGATGTTACAGGATGTGACATTATAGGATGTGATGTGCTACAGGGCCCTTTAGTATTCTCCACAGTGCCCTGCAACAGAACCCACACCAACCGTCTCCTCCTCCTGCTCTAGGGTAACCATGTCCTCATGGACTTCAGAAATGGTCTTCCTTCATCCCTCACCTGCAATGACAGAAAACAAACATGTCTGGCATCCATCAGGTCAAACTTGTGCCTCAGGCCCATTCAGCCACTGGGCACCACTTTCCCTGGTGGAGCTTCTGCCTAATCGGTATGAAGGCCATGGATGTGGCCGGCTTAGGCCACAGGCTACAACTCTGTCAACCCCATGGTAAAGCGTTGAAAGGGTTAACAGAAGCCCCTTAACTTTTCCACCCCTTCTGTGAGTTGAGTTCTGCCCCCATCCCTAGTATTTTGAAGTCCTAATCCTCAGCATCTCAGAATAGAATTGTATTCCAAGATCAGACCTTAATATAAAGAAGCAAAAAAAGGGTCAGTAGAGTGGTCTTCATCTAATATGACTAGTGTCCTTGTAAAAGAGATCAGGTGACAGACACAGAAGGCAGACCATGTCAAGCCCTGGGAGAGGCAGTGGTGGAGCAGGAAAGGAGGAAATCGGTCCTGCAGAAATCTGGATCCTGGACTTCCAGCCTCCAGGAAGGTGAGAAAAACTGCTTTGGTGTTTTGTTACAGCAGCTTCAGCAAACTCATACATACCTCTAGCAACAAGGAGCTTCCTTGGGAACTCAGCAGAGAGAGCCTACTTAAGCTTGTAACACTCGCCATTCTTAGAAGCACGTTTTAAGGAGCTCAAGCAGGAAGTCCTGCCAGATAGCTTTATATCAGATGTTTTCCCCAAATCCCAACCAGCTTCTACTTTTATCAGTGAAATTGGGTGGGTGGCTGGAGGCAGGCTGTACAGATTCCAGATGTGGAGTGGGGTGCCATTGGAATTTTCATCTGCTGATAACAAATTTGGGGGCCTTGCTTTTCCCCACTTGTAAAATAAGATCACAATACCTTTTCAGGACTTCATTGAATATTTGTAAAGGTGGAAAGTTAGG